TTGTGTATTTCTAGGAATTTGCCCATTTCATCTAGGCTCTCCAGTTTGTTGGTGTATAATTGCTCATCATTTTCTAGAACCCTTTTTATTTCTATAAAGTTGGGGTAATGTTCATGCTTAAATTTCTGATTTAGTAAGTTGAGTCTTCCCTCTTTTTTTCTTAGACTACTTAAAGGTTTGTCATTTTTGTTAATATTTTCAGAAAAACTAGTTGTGGTCTCACCCATTTTCTCTATAGTTGTTCCTTTTCCTACTTCATTTATCTCTGCTCTGATCATTATTACCTTCCTTCTGCTAACTTTGGGTTTAGTTTGCTCTTCTTTTTCAAGTTCCTTCAGGTATGCATTTAGGTTACTAATTTCAGATTTTTCTTCCTTTAAAAGTTTTCTCGGTTATCTTAGATTTTTCTTCCTTTGTAATGTAAGCTTTCACAGCCATGAATTTCCCTCTGAGCACTGCTTTTGCTGCATCTCATAACTTTTGGTATATTGCATCTTAATTTTCATTCACTTCAAGGTATTTTCCAATTTCTCTTATGATTTCCTCTATGACCCACTGATTGTGTAAGAGTATGTTGTTTAATTTCCACATATTTACATATTTTTGAGTTTTCCTTTGGTACTGATTTCTAGATTTGTTTCCTTGTGATCACAGAAGACACTTGCATGATTTTAATGTTTTTGAACTTATTAACACTTGTTTTGTGGTCCAAATATGGTCTAATCTTGAAAATGTTCCATGTGCCCTTGGGGCACATGGGTGGCTCAGTTGTTAAACATCTGCCTTCAGCTCAGGTTATGATCCCAGGGTCCTGGGATCGAGCCCCACATCAGGCTCCCTGCTCTGCGGGGAGCCTGCAGAGAGCCTGCTTCTCCTTCTCCCACTCCTCCTGCTTGTGTTCCCTCTCTTGCTGTGTATCTCTCTGTCAAATAAATAAAATCTTTAAAAAAAAAATGTTCCATGTGCCCTTGAAAAGGATATATATTCTGTTGTACAGTGTATTAATATGTCTGTTTTAGGTATAACTGGTTTAGAGCATTGTTCACATCCTCTATTTCTTTGTTGATCTTCAGTCTGGTTGTTCTATTCATCACTGAAATGCAGTATTAAAGTCTCCAATTATTAATGGAGAACTACTACCTATCACTCCCTTCAAATCTTTCCATTTTTGCTTCATGTATTACACTCTGTTGTTAAGTACATATATGCTTATAATTGTTCCATCTTCCTGAGGAATTGAAGCCTGCATCAATATATAACAAACTTTTTTGACTTAAAATTGATTTTTTTCTGATAATATGGCTACTCCAGCTCTCTTTGGTTTTTAGCATTTGAATGGAATATCTTTTTCCATCCTTTTACTTTCAACCTCATTCTGTCTGTATCTAAAATGAGACTCTTGGGGCACCTAGGTGGCTCAGTCGGTTAGGAGTCTTCCTTCGGCTTAGGTCATGATACTGGAGTACCGGGATCGAGCCCCGTGTCAGGTCCCCACTCAGTGGGGAGTCTGCTTCTCCCTCTGACCCTCCCACTTCTCGTGCTCTCTCTCTCAAATAAATATTTTTATGGAAATAAAAATATCAAGATTTCAAGGTGGTATTTCACAAAGAACATATTGTTTAGCTAAGAACAGTCTGATATTTAGGTGTTTCACCTAAGTTTGAGAAACATTGTTAAGTAGAATGCAATATTTAAAATACTAAAATTTAGATCCATTAGAACTCCAAATTGAAATACTTTATGTAACTACTTTTAAAAACATATAGAACTCAAAAATACATTTCATGTATTTGCTAAAGTCAATTAAAATTATAACTATTATGATGGAAATATAAAGACGTTATCATCAATACATGTATACCATTCTAAAACATTTGTCAGTTTTTACTAACAGAAGAGGGGAAAAAAAAACCCAAAACCCTGCAACTTTAGCTGAAGGATCAACCATTCAATCAAATGCTATGTTTGAGTAAAAAAAGAAAAAATAATCCCATGAAAATCCATCATTCATGAACAGTTCCATTCTAGGTCTGTGAAACATTATATAATATTTCTAAATTGTTAGTTCACAAACTATAGCATATTCCACAGCACACCTCATCAAACATCAATGGGACATGAAATAAATTTACTGAGTGGGTCAAGCCAACATTTATATAACATAATAGTATAGAACAGAAAATATTAATGTATACTGTATATAATGCTATGCATTGCTTCACTAAACTTTTATTCTATTTTATGTATATATGAAGGCCATTCTCTTTCTACTATACCACAACACTATTCTATCAGAAAAAAGAAGCTAAAATAGGACACACCCTGCTATAGTACATAATACATTGAGCATAGGAAAGTATTATGTATAGGAAAATATACTGCAATGAAGTTCCTATGTAATTACTTAACATAATTTAATTACTTAAGAAAGTTACTTATGGATGAAAAAGATTTAGACTGTTTTACTACTTTTATCAGATTACCTCATATATAACTAATTTATAATTCAGAAACCATGAAAATCTGAAGCAAACATCTAATTTATCATAAATTAATGGGTTTCAAAATACCTTACATTCTAGGGAAGATTTAACATAATTAATCTCAAAGTTGTAAAGATAAGATAAATTCATGATACTTGACTGGCATATTTAAGTCTAGCTCCTTAAAGGACTTTTTATTTTCCCTTTATTTCAACCATAACTATGGATCTTATTCTTATAGGAACACCCTTAACATTCTGCTCAATTGTTACCTATTCATATTATATCATATTTAAATATACAACAGTTTTAGTCCATTTCTTAATAAATACACAGACCTTTAAAAATGTTTCACTGTGAAGTATAATTTGCTGGGACATTTCTACCATAAAAAAATCGTACCATGTCAATAAAATTTATAATTTCCCCATTAAAGATTATTTTGTTCTAATACATTTAAGAACCTCATAGCACAGGGCACCTGGGTGGCTCAGTCGGTTAAGTGTCTGCCTTCAGCTCAGGTCATGTTCTCAGGGTCCTGGGATTAAGCCCCGGCATAGGGCTCCCTGCTCAGTGGGGAATCTGCTTCTCCCTCTCCCTCTGCCCCTCCCCTGCTCATGGTGTGCTCTCTCTCTCTCAAATAAATAAATAAAATCTTAAAAAAAAAAAAAAAAAAGAACTTCATGCTGCTAGTGAGTAATCCTATATATAAAAGAAATGGATCAGGACAAATATTAAAACAAGTAACACTGTTACTGCACAATTTCCCTTTACAGACAGAACAGGCTCCCATATACATTTTAGCATTCTTAATATATAAATTGGACTGACACACCCAGTACTTTTTAGGACAGAATATTCTCAAATTTCATCTAATACTGAGCTTCCAATTAATTCATACGTAGTG